TTGTAATGCTTCAATTTTTTGTCATTAACTAATATTTACTGATATCACGTGTCTCTTTAATATCCACTGATGGATTATGTACCATTCTTAAAATTTAATATTTTTAAAATGCAACACTAAGAGACGAATTTATTATACAATCTGATAAAAATGTTTCAACGAGCACACCTCCAATGTATTCATTTTATGCAAGCTACTTTCGAGTTCTAGAACGATTATCTATAAATTTTGAAAATGTATTCGTAAGTAGTTCGATAGATTGCAAGGACTGAAAGGAACACACGTATCTGAAGTGATTGTAGTGCAACAAAAAAAAAAAAAAAAAGTAAACATATAGAAAAACAAAATTTTTTAATATTCTCCAAAAAGACAAATTGTAGGAATAATAATAACAAATAATAATAAAGGAACGAGCTTCGTTCTCTACTTGTTAAAAATCTCACTTTGAAAAGTTGGAGGCTACTTGTTCGAACTATACCATTCCATCAGTATTTGCAAACATTCGTGAAATATTCGAAACTAACCCTTAAATTCGAGTATAGTTCGAGTGTGTCATTCAGGGATACTTGGAAGGGATTCGAATTTAAAAGCTGAACCGACTTGTGAGGTACTCGATCCCATCTCTACCGAGGGTCCACAAAGTTACGATCACTAGGCTACCTATTATAATAATTTACGTTCATCAGCATAATGATAAGATTCGCGCGAGATGGCAGATGGTGGAGGAGGAGGTCGGTAGGGCGGGGATAGGGTGGCTTATCAGATAGTTATCACGGTACCAGATTGCAACGAGGGATTATACAGTGGAATTAGTATGAGAAAACCGTGGCTATCCAGCATCTACGTCGGTGAAACACGGCTTCGAGCGAACGGTAAATCGACTGTTTCGAACGGAGTTCATGGACGAGATCCGCACCAACTGAATGTGCCAGCAGTTTTCCTGGGCGTGAGATACGTATTACGCTAATAGCGATAATACGACGTTGTTCATAGGATACTAGGAAAGTCGAGCAGTCCTTTACTCGAGGACCACTCGACGTGTCGCACAATCAGGGTTGCTGATTATTGGTTTGACAATATATACGCTGATGATTCGAAATTGTACGTCTAAAAAATAAGAAAGTTACTACTTAACTCTTTTCGTAGAATTTTAACCATTTTCATTGAATTCATATTCATATTATTATTATTTTAATGTTAATTGCACTTTTAGTCGTTAATGAATTTAATTTCCATCGAACATTAACAACATAATAAATTTATTATTTCTTTTCGTTTGAAAAACTCTGATTTTCGGTGTCATAAAAGTAATTAATTTAATGTTTTCTTTCGATTAGAACGTGGCGAATAATTTGCTTCTCACAGTGTCCTAATACAGTCTGCCATTAAACCTGTTCTCTTTATCCAAGGACGATGATCTCTCCAGGCTGCGAAAATGCCGCGTCACGAGAATTATCAACAATTTGTTCTACCATTCACGGTCTCTATCCGTCACAGGATTACACTTTATTGAATATTTATTATGAAGTATCTCGTTGCGCTTATTATAAAATAAAACTTGCAAAGCCTCATTGAGAATTCTATGTAACTTCGATGTATCTCGACGATGTGTTAGTACGATGTAAACACCATCAGAATGAATTTTTGTCCCGATGACTGACAATAGATATGTATACCTTGGAGCGCATATTCGATCTCAAAGGGTTAATTGAAAGTTCATTAGTAAGGGATAGAATCGAATAATAATCGAAGATCTTTTGCCGATCTCTGTAGCCAACATATACCTATTTATCACTTGTCGTGTTAGTTCATATTATATCGACTAACATATTATTTTATATCTCGTTCTTACTACTTGTGCAATATGTAATATTGTATTTTATTGATAGTTTCTTATCAAAGAAATATGCAATATTCTGATATAATCAGAACATATAATCTGTTTAACGAAAAATAATGTTAGAACTCGAAGATTTCATATTATTGGATTTTACTCCACAATTAAGTTTTTCCCTTCGACTATTCTCTCCGAAAT